CTCTCCCTGCCTTTTCCAGCCACTCCTCTTCCTCGCGGGAAGCCAAGGAGGGTAACTTCGTCTTTGTTTCAACTTGTGAAGCCTTTGCTTAGTAAGGAAGATTCTTCTGACGTCAGTCATTCCTCTGTGACTCTGCTTTTTGCTACCTTCATTTTTTTGTCCAAGAGAGAGCTGCTCTTGGGCATGAAATCCCCTCCCCATGCCTGCTCCCTTCTCCTCCCCTTACACGTCTGAGGATGCACAACACCTCCTGACAGCTCTTGATGTCTCCCTTCTCTATTTTAAGACTGAAGACTCTTTCTTTCAGACTGCCATCTTTTCAAGACACTCCATTTCTTTAAAGTGCAGCTTCTCAGATCACTTCTCCCTGCTTGAGTGACCTTATGTCCTGCTGTAGTAAGTACGCTCGTTTCCCTCCCACACTGGGTCCTTCCAGGCTAGATTTCTACTCCAATGCCACCTTTGATTACAATTGATAACCTCAATTTCCTACTCTTGCAGACATGCAAGTACTTGCAATTACTTCTTAACATTTCTTTAAACAAAAATATTTCCAAATTGCATAACTAAAGAAAAAAACATGAAAGCATGAACTCCATCCATCTTCAATTCGAAGAAAAAAAAGAGAAAGACTTTAAAGATTTCTTGTTCTTAAAGCAAACTTTTGCTTGTTTAAGTTAGTGTTAACAGCTCATCAATGCTGTAAGTTACTGTTACGCCCTCTCATATCACTCACACATTTTAATCTACTGGTTATTCTATCACTGTTCCCAGCAGGCTGATCGCTGTGCCAAGCAGCACGGAGCCCAGATCTGCTCCCTGTGGAAAGGCTGACGCTGGGCTAGGGTCTCCCTTTTGCTGCCCCATGCCCAGAGCTCCTGCCCAGCTGCCCCAGCTTCAGCTGCCCGGTTCCTCTGGGCTTCCCACACAGGCAGGGCAGGGCACCGCCATCAGACACTCTTTACTCAAAAGTTTCGCCCACTCAAACCTCTGATGCCGGCAGACCCATTCACCTCCTAAACCTCTGACCTCACCCAGCAATGAAACTGGGCTTCTTCTGAAGAGCTGATTTCTAACAAACCTGTGACATTGAGCTCGTCACTGGGCAGCTGCAGCAGGAACAGCCACCTGCTTAAGACAGGCTACTTTCCCTCATGAAAGTCATCCCTCCCTCCTCTGTTTTGGAGGCCTAGGCGCTCCTCTCCCTCCCCATGCCATGTCGCCATGGGTCCTGCACCGTGCTGGTTACCTGCAGGGTGGCCGGGCAGGCAGGACAGGTGCTGGGGTGCGATGCGGGACCCTGAGCAGCGTCTCCAGACTTCGCCTCACAGCCCGTCCTGGACCTCTATTTATGTGCCGCGGGTGGTGACTCCACGGTAAAACACCGGTGGGGGGAGATGGGGGAGGCGGGGAAGCCTCCCTAACATAAAAGGTGGCTGGGCAGGGCCAGAAACATTCTTATCTTGCTGGCTGAGTCTTTGCGCAGACTAATCCGGCATCTCCCAGCTGTCTGCAGGTCTGTCATCTCTTCCCCCCGCCCCTCTTTGCCAGGGTTTCTGAAGCATCAGCATCCCCCTGCGCTTCACAGGCTGAGAGGGGCATGGATGCAAAAAAAGATTTAAAATTATTTAAAAGCTCTAGCAAGGCAGCGTTGGTGGAGGGCACAATCCTAACCCTGTGCACACACCCATGCACCCCTCAGGGCAAGAATTGTTGAGAGAAGAACCTGGGCTGGTGCTGCAGGACCAGGGCCCATCTCCTACACCAGAGCTGGGTGTCGTGCTCAGGCACCCTCACCCTCGTCCAGCCACCTTCTCACAGCTCCTTGAGCCTAAAAATTCCTGTTCCTCCAGTAGATATGCAAGACCTCTCTTCCTCGCAGAGTCCGAGAGCACTGAGTTGCGCTGAGTTGGGCAGCTGTCACTTGCCATATAACTGAAATACTTCTACGGCCTCAGTGGCAAGGGAAGGGAAACGAACTCGAAAGACCAGTTATCTGAAAGGGGTTGTCACAGCTGTAGGGCAGCCCAGGGTATGTGGGGAGAAGGGACGGCAGGTGGAGGGTGCAACTCTCTGCTCTTGGACCCACTGCTGCCACCAATGCTGTGTGTGGGCATGTGTTTACGGGTCCTGCACAGATTTCTGCAGATGAGGCAAAGGAAATCTCCTCCACTCCTCGCTGAGGCCTTTTCCACCCTAGAGACATGGCAGGTAGGATAGCAGCAGCCAGTCTCTCTCATCTCCCCATACGCCAAAGCCAGCACCCCAGGGTGACTGTGGGGCAGTGCTCTGCCCTGGGTATGGGCTGCAGAGAGCGTTTGCATCCTCAAGGACACAGTCTGTGGCAAACCACATCAGATGCAGTGCCAACACCCCTGGCAAAGGCAGTGCCACCATCGGATGTGCCTGCTTGGAGGCAGCCCCCTGGGGACAGGGGACTTAGGAACATCTCTGTGAGGCTGGCTCCGGCCCAGGTGGAGCAATCCCAAAACATCCAGAGCTCGTGCCCAACTTTATTAGCTTTCATGTTCATAGTTAACGTACAGAAGCCCTTGTAAATATCCATGGTTAATACTCAGCAGTTACTGCATCACCCTCTGCAGCAGCCACCTCCCTGCAGTGCTGAGCTGTAGTGCCATGCCAATTGAGAGGAGCTCCAGGGCAGCAGAAGCCTGGGTAGTCCTTACATGCTATTAGCCTGCCGTCTGCTTGTTTTCTCTTTTTTCTTTATTTTTTTTTCCCCAGAGCTGCCACATTTCTTACACCCAGGAGAGCGCTGAGCCTCGCACACTCAGGGCAATGCGCAGCAGCCTAATCTGCAAGCATTCTGTTGAAATGTGTCAAATAATGTATTTGTTTCTGTTCAGACTCACAGTGATGGAACATCTTTTGCAAGAACGTTTGCAATTTCTGACAGGACAGCCCACTAGCATGGCTTGTCCCCCACAGCTTTGGGCACTGCTAGAGCAGAAGGAGAGCTGGCTTGAGCTCTTGTTTGCACACACGTACTGCAGCCTGGCACTCTCCTTCCTGCTGCTTTGGTGTGACACAGGCATCTTAAAGCTTCCCTAATCCCCCTGCCCAGTATATGGGGTCTTATTCTCATGTGCACTTAGAGGGGCTTTCTCAAGCAGGGTGGTGGGCAGGTCACGGCTTCGAAGGGGCCCAGGTGTCTGGAGCAGCCCAAGGAACTGTCTCATGCCTGACCTGAAAACTCACGAGCTGCCTTTGGGAGAAGAGATGTCCCACTGGGGTACTCACATAGGAGGTGGGGGATGTGGGGGTCGGGAGGCAACTCCCAAGAAAGGGGAGCTTCCTGCAAACAGAGGCGTGCCCTGGGCTGTTGGGTGGAGGCAAATCTCCATTCCTCCTCTTGCAGCCAGGTCTGCTGCACAGGAGGTCATACTATAATTAGGGACATCAGGAAAGGTCTGGCACGTCTCAGGCTTCAAAGCGTTTCAGGCTCAGACTAAGTTCTTGGGTTCATGAAGTTATGGGGCATTTTAAGACTTTTTCATGTGAGTTTGGAATATGTGCATAGACTGACATCCTTCAGTTTGCAACAGCGTTCCTAAAATAAGTATGATACACTGAGGATGAGCTAATCACTTTTTACTTTTTCTGGACAAATATGGTTATCACTCAAGCAAAACCTTGCGGAAGATCTGATACAGCTTGTGTCGCTTGGGAAACAAAAGGCAGCAGAGACATTATTCCTAAATATAAATAGTTCAGCATTCTATAATTTAATAAAAGTCTTGTACAAACTAGATTAGACTGAAAGTATGGACTAGCCACTTAGCACAGCAAGCCAAAATCAAACTTGCTTGTTGTACCCCATGGAGCAACTTCTGAGACTTAAGGAAAGATTGCAAAGCTCTTTGTATCTTCTGAGAGCAGTTCCCCTAAAACTGGTTTCAGTGGTGCTACAGTTTGGTCTCACAGCTCTTCCTTCACATTCACTTTCATTCATGTCTTTTTGCACTCATGACAAATGGCTCTTCTGACCTTCATTATTAAGTTCCTGGAACTTAATACTCTGACAGCAAAATTAAGGTCATCCTCTCCTTCCCCTCTACCCCTCAAAAATGAGCTCTCAGGACGCATATTCGTGGCTTGACTGGGATGAAGCCATGTCCCCTCTCCCAGTTACCGTATGGTGAGAATGAGTCTTTACTTCTTGAATGGGTTTGATTCACTGTCCCCACTCATGGGACCGTGTGTGAGACACCCAGTGCCACCAGCTACCCCAGAGGTGAAGAAGGTGCTTTCCAAAGCCCAGTTGCCATTATGGGGAGCCATTATTCCCCACCTGCCCAGCCCCTTATCATCCCCCTGCCCGTCACAGCCCTCTGCTGTCCCTTCCCATCCTTCCTCCTTGTGCCTGCCCAGCTCCCCACCTTTTTTGTACTGGGCTGCCATGTCCCACCTGCTCCCCTCCTCATTGTCCCTCCTGAGCTTTGCCTCTCCCACTTACCACTGGGAAGGGAAGGAAGAAGCTGCCTCCTTGGCCCCCCAAGTAGAGCAGGGGTGAGAAGGAAGGTCTCTGGGGGGCACCTGGAGCTCTCCCTGTGAGGACTGGAGAGGAGCAGGAGGGTGCAGCCATGATGTGGCTTCCCCTCAGCCCTCAAGGAGGCTAGAGCTTCTCATGGTGGAGAGACGCTCCAGCCCTGGTGGGACCAGGACAACTTGTAGCAGCTACAACACTGCCAGTGCATAGGCAGCTACTGCTAGCAAACACACCAAGACCCACATCTGCTAAAATCTGAGCAATAGAAAGCCATCCCCTGCCCATCCCTCCCCCTACATTACCTCTTCAGCCCTGGGTAGCTCCATGTAACCACACATGGTATTAAACACAATTTCTTTAGTTATCTTCTCTTTAGTGATATTCTGGGTGGCATTTAGTGGACAAATGGTTATTACATCACAATTTTCACCTAGTCATTTTGAGTAGCTATCAGCTGCATTAGACCAGAAAGCACTTTTGACCAGGTGGTTCAGGCTTGCGGGGGGGCAGCTGGCCCTGCCAGCAGAGCGTGGGTAGGTGCAGCCAGGCTGCCTTGCTCCTTCTTGTCGTTTCTGCTGACAAAGGTGAGGAGGTCCATCGCTGTGACCACACCAAACACCATCTGCTTCATGAAGGAACTGCCATTTCCATTGACTGTAAGCACAGAAAATGCCAGTTTAGTGGGGAAAAAAAGAAAACTAATAAGAAAAAAACAACACTCCACAGCTGTGCAGAGGCTGCTATTCATTTATTAAGAGAAAACCATAATGGAGACAGAAGCTGTCTCTGCTCTCCCTCTACAGAAATGATGGATGCAGCATTGGTTGGTTTACTGGGATCATGTCAGGGAGGTTTCAGCTGCAAATAATGCACTCGTTACCAGAGCAGGAAACTTAATTTCCCAGTTGTTTTTACCCAGCCTCTGTTCCAGTCCTGCTTCTATCACCACAAAACCTTTCAGGCCAAACTAATGAGACTCTTTAAGAGCAGCAGTGAGACACTTTCTACTCTGTTCTCATAATTCCTACACCACCATTAATAAAACGGCACTGTAACAACTGCTTTACCTATCTGAGAAATGTTTTCTCAAATAAAAATAAAATTAGTCACCAGAGCCCAAACACAAGACAAAATGCAAGCTCCAAGGGTGTGGAAAGAAAGTAATAAATAAGGGGGTAACTGTGACAGCATTAAAACAGCATTTCTGGAAAAGAAAATTGGTGTTGTTTGAAAACCAGAGAAAGAGACACTGCATACAGCTGCCCAGTGCTTTTTGGTGGGTAGCATTTAATTCGTGGATACCATTTAATTTATATCAAGATGTGACACAAAATAGATTTTCATTGTTTTGTGACAACATGGCTGAGAAAAGAAATTCCGCCTAGCGTTATTTTTGGTGAGAGAATTGGAAATGTGCATCAAAGGCGGTTTTGAATGAGAGACTTTTGTTTCAATGAGAGACCTCTGCTTTGTGGGAACATGGCTGGATTTCAAGCCAGTTTTATAGCTGATGGAGTTTCAGAGTGACAGGCCGTGGAGATGCATATGGTGGGTTTTGGAGGCCCCGTGTTCAACAGGCAGCCCTTTTGCTGGCAGACAGTACAGTGCAATATTGCAGGCTGCTCACCACAGGAATGCTTTGCATGTTCAGTGTGTAATCCTGTAAAAATCGGTGTAATTACACCCTTCAGATCTAATTTAGAACACCTAATCATGGGTCTTCTGACTGCTTTTTCGTGTTGCTAAACTTTTAAGCAAAGTAACTCCCTCGAGATAAGGCCAAATTTGTAATTCTAGAAGTTTTACGATATAATTGTACTGGAAAGATGTGTTAGGTCAGGTTTACAGAACAGCACCTGCCACCATACCTGTTTTTGTCAGGGGAGCAACAAGGTGTGATCCCTGCTGCCATCAACGTGTCAGTAACCCTTGCGCTGATGTGGTCCTGCTGCACATGACTCCACTGAGCCAGTTTGCTTCACTTGGGGAGGGGGTGGCTGTACAGTAGTTTGAGAATAAACCAAAGCTGCTGGTACTGCTGCTTTGTTAGATCAGTCCGCTGGAACTCCCGAATTGGCAGAGCATCCCTATACCCAGCCATGGTCCAGGTAAGGCTCAAACACAGATGTCCCAGGCCGCCATGTGTCAGTGTGCATCGTGCCTCCTGATTCCCAACTCATGTGTCCTTACCACAGGGCTTGTTCACGGTCCAACACATTTGTTTTCAGCTTTCTCAACTGATGCTGGACCTCCAGGGTAGATGTCTGATAGCACGCAAGGTCTCTAAGTGTATCATTTTACTCAGACCCCTTGGGGCACACAGGCATAAGTACATCTCTTGGCTGCGTCTCCAGGGGTGGCAAGTGGGAACAGGGGTGTTGTACAACCTCAAATCATGCACAGCAGAAGGCCTTTAGGCACTGGGATACAGGCTGTGGAGTTTGTTCCCTTGCATTTATGCACCTGAATTCCACCTACGCTTTATCTAATGTGCCCAAATGCTCCTTTCACCCTTGCTCTTGGGATACTAAGCCTTTGGAGATCCCTAACCTCCCCCGTGTTCCCTATGCTGCCCACAACCAGCAAGGCAGTGATTTGAATTCGAGGTCAAGAGACTAAACGAGAACTGGAGGCCTGAGTCTACAGCTGTGCAACAAAGGCTGCTACTTACAGTCAACCTTGGCTGTCACAGGTGAGCAAATGAAATCCCATGATGAACACCTTCCCATACCCAAAATAGTGCTTCTGCAGGAAACCATGAGATGAGGGGAAGGGATGGAGCTGACTTGTGCTTCATCGCCACCCCTGCATGGGGACACAACACAGCTCCTATGGCCAGGATCTGGGAAGTGCTCCTGCAGGACACACATCCAGTAATGTGCTCATCCCAGGCTGCTGTGGTTAAGGCTTCCCCCCTCTCCACTCGTCCCTGTGGTGACAGCAAAGGAAACGAGTTGGCAGTTCCAGGGCTTTGCAGAGGCACAGGGCAGAAATCCTTCCTGCAAAGGCTCAGGGGCTGCACATGTGGAGCAGCTGCACTAATACCTACGAACCTCAGTCTGAGAATTTCCCTCTCCCCTCTCAAACACTCATGCAAAGCCTGCACAGTGCTTCGGCAGATACCTACACTGCATTTGCTCATGTACAACAATAGCAAAGTGGTCATTCTCCAGGATGCAGGAAAGCTTCCCGAGGCTGTCCTCCAGGCCAATCTAAACAGGACAGAAAGAGACATTTTATGTTTCACTTCGCATTTAAAGGACAGTGGTGTAGAGACTCACTCCTGTCTCTGACTGTAGCTGTGAGTGGGCAAGGGGGCATCCAGCTGGACCAGCATCAGGTGCGTCTCACCAACCCACACGGTTTCGGGGAGATGGGAGACAATGCAGGCAACCTACAAACCTGGCTTTGGTGTAGCTGAAACACAACGCCGTCTCCCACCAGCCCAAAGAGTTTCCGCAGGCAAGCGTGATGGCTCCACCCGCCCCCCCTAAACCACCACCCATTTACCTCACTCTATCTCTGGACCACTGATGGAACTCATCAAAGTCCCATGTCCTACCAGAGCCCATGCCTGTTGCCTCAGCCCTGAGGAGTCCTGGCAATGGATGGGCTCTAATTTCGGAGGGTGTTGATTCCCCAGCTGGGCAAAATCCTTTGACAATGTAAGACTAGGTGTGGATATTCATGAGCTCTGCTTCTGGTGTGAAAGCTTCCACGTTTGAACCACACAGGCTCAGCAGAAGTTTTGCAGGCTCTCTTCTCCATGTCCCCACCTCTGTCTACATTACACCTCTCTGTCTTTTCATTGACCTCTTCTCCAAGCTCCTCTCACACCTCAGGGTGCTGCTGCATCTTTCCCCACCCCTGGACAAGGGTTGACACTAGTCACAGCCTTAGCGGTACCTTTGAGAACTGGTCATAGATGACCTTTGTAACGGGGTCTGAGAACTCTGCATTTCCAGCCAGAACCGAGGTGAGGGTATTGCTGAGGGTCACCATTCCCAGAATAACTCTGTAAGAGAACCAGGAGTTTTCCAAAAGATCAGACCTGAGGTAGGGAATGCATTTTATGTAGGGGCTGAACTGCTACCTTTGAAGTCAGTGACTAAATTGCTGTTGCCATCAGTGCAAGGCACTAGCTTTCTCCTCACCTGAGAAAGACAAGAAAATCCTTGTTCTCACCAAGCTGTTGGTTTAACTGTAGTTAAGGTCTGCTATTACAGTCCAGGACTTATCAGCTGGGAGAAGGAAAACTTGTGGGCTCTCTAGCTGCTCATTTCTGTGGGTTTCCCAACCAGCCCTCAGCCCTCATCTCTTCCCTGGCCTGCCCTTGTCAACCACTGCTGAGTCTGGTGGGCACTGGATTTGGCTTTGACTTTAGCTAGCTCATTTGCAAGGAGTTTTCTTGATGCATCTTCATACAGAGACAGAAAATATTTTACAAGTGCATCATAAAATCCAATGCAGAAGCCTCAGTCCCGTCACTGGATGAGTAAATGGGACTTCCTCTTTAGCTTCACCATGGCTGCTTTACCCATGTGAATGGCCATCTCGGTAATGAATAAAAATAGTTACCCTGATTCAGCAACAACAGGAGCTTGGTCATATCCCTTTTCCTGCAGGATCTCAATTGCCTTTTGACAGCTGACTTCTGGGAGGAGAATGAGAGGGGCTGAGAGATTCAGTTTCTGCACCTTGATGTTCCACCACCTGTTGAAGAACAAATGGCAACACCAAGATATTACTCTCTGCTGCACAGCTGTGGGCCTTGCTCAGGGAGGTAAGGCCAGCAGAGATGAGACCAAGCATGCAGAGATAGTCTGCCTGTCTGCAAACCTTTCCCCACTCCTATCCTCAAAGCCACAAGTCCATCATGGCCAGGCTCTGTGGAAGCCAAGTTTTCCCCACACCTGGTATTCACTCAACTCCATAGGCAGGGCTGAGGACAACAATCGACAAGATGCTGAGCTGTCCTGAATAGAAAAAAGATACTGAGGCCTTCACTTCAAGTTCATGAGTGGGGAGGCCCACCAGTTTTACATCTTTGGTTTATATCCTTGGTCCTCAAAATGCAGCATTTGCAGCACCTCCAGGAGAGGGCCTGGCTGAGGGCCTTATGTGACGTACAAGGCACAAGCTACACTTTTTTCCTGGGGACCACAGGCAAATCCCAAATCACCTCAGCACTTTGCCTTGCGGATAAATTAGGGCAATGTTGGAGGCTGGGAGGGCAAAGAGCAATTCTAATCAGGCACAAGAGGCTTACAAAATATTTTGCAATAACCTTTAGTTATACTGACCCAGGTGACCCAGCAGGTGATATCCATAATAACTATTGTTTTGAAATTGAGAATAGGTTCTTTCTAAACAACTGTTATTTGCCCAGCCACACACGTCAACTGGTATCAGCACTTTGTCTGTGATTCTCTGCCTTGAGGGCACTCTTGCCCCATGGTGTGCAAGAGACAGGTGACTTGGTCATCTTTTTTGGCTCACAGCTCTGAGAAGTGTAAAGTTACTGTTCCCTGCCTGAAAAGACCTCCAGAGCCGTTTGGAAAGGTGCTTGCTACAGGACGGTCTCAACTCTCCGCTGGTCCAATGTTCCTTTGAATTTCAGCTGAGGAGCAAAGAGGGTAGATTTTGAGTGGAGCTAAATGTTCACCTCAGTCATTCTTCTTGGCAGTGTTTAGGAGGCCTGGACAATCAGAGCAGATCAGCAACTTTAGGAAACAAACAGTTCCTCTACAGACTTTGATTGGAGAACTGGGATAACTAGGCACTCAAAAGAGAGGAGATGACGTTACAGTCTCCCCAGAGGGGTCTGGACTTCACAGCATTTTTTCTAAACACTGTAAGATAATACTTTCCTTTGAAGATAATGATTTCCAGACTCAGAAAGCTGATTCTCTTAGCACAGTTTATACCAGTGGAAGATTTCTTACCAAGGCTTGTGCTCCTGTACATCATTTAGGAAACCATTTTTTGTCATCCACTTATCATTCAAAAATTTAGACCTAGAAATCACCAACAAAGAACAAGTTCATGAGCCTTCCAGAAGAAATCGTGCTTTGCTTCATGCACTAGACCACAGCACTGCCCTGGGGCTCCCACGATTTTTGCAGCTGGCTGCTCTTAGCCCCTTTTAAGGTCAACGGGAGCTGCGGGTGCTCAGTAACTCTTAGAAGCATGCCAACTATTTGCCTTCCTAACTTTAGGCCTGTAAGTTCAAAAACTGTAGCTTGATTGACTCCTGCTCCGTGCAGTCAGTCAGTGACGAGGTGAAATAAAACCCAAGTGTCCCAACACCCCACCCCTGCTGCTTGTCATGGTAGTAAACTATTTCTTCCTATTGTTTATTTATTTTTTTTCCCCTATGAGCTGCTTGAGGGACATTCCCAGCTCAGGGCTCACCCTGGGTGCCATGCTACCAGAGTTCTTGGGGTGGTTCTCCAGAGACACACACCATCTGGGCTCAGCGGTGTTAAGCTTATGCCCCTGAAGGACCTCATGGCCCTGGTGTGGGTCGTATGCAGAGACTGAGGGAGAAATCTATGGGAGCTCCCACCCTGGTGCTGGAAAGCAGGCAAGGAAAGGAGAAACTCACATGTAGTTCCTGACAGAGTCAGGCAGGATGACGACGCACCGCTGACCTTCCTTCAATTCCTTGGCAGCCTGCACAGCAACAGACATAGCACTGCCCGAGCTGCCACCTGCAAGGGTACCAAGAAAAAAAGAGATAAGCATCCGAGTCGCCCAGGGTGAAGGACCACAGTCATGGTGTGTGGGGGACAGCAATGCCCCAGTGAATGGCACAGGGGCACCCAGGCAAAGCAGTTGCAGCGATGGCACCTTGTACACCAGAGCAGCTGAGGATGCTGGGAGTAGGAGAACAACTGGTCCCACAGCCTTGTAGGCTTTAAGATCAGGAAGAGGTGAGGAATGAAGAGACGTGTTCATATGGTGTCTCTTGGCAATGGGCTTTTGAGGCAGCGTTAAGAGTCACCTTATAAACTTCATGAACCACTTCTTGTGGTGACTCTGCAGGTAGGCCAAGGGCTGAAATGTTCAATATGGGGACATTCACGCCACTGCTGCCCACACTGCACACTTCCTTTGGGTAAGGAGAAAGACCATGCCAAATCTAGAGCTTCTAGCTGACATATTTGGCAACTGAAGATTGGCTTTGAATACATTGTAAAGACTGAAGAAACCATAAACATTACATTCATGCTTGGAATACCAGGCCAATGTGATGGGAAGACTTAAACACTCCTTGTGTCTGTGTGCACACATGTGGTTTTAAGCAGGTCCCTGCTTTACAGACGCAATTCTTCCACCAGTAGTTTGAATACTGAAAGTCAAACACATTCCACTATCTGTGTGCCAATTACACCCTGCATTCAAGGCAGCACGTATTTTACAGCAGGTTAATTATCATCGGGTCACATTTTTCAAAGAAATGAGGAGAGGCCCTGAAAAATGCAGTTCAGGAAACACAAAGCTATTCACAAATTATAGTTGAGTTCAGCAAATGGTTTCTGTTGAAACACAGTGACTCCGTGCCTGCTAGGTTAAATCAACATTTAAGGCTTTCATTACAAATAGCCTGATCTTTTTCAAAACTCCTTGGGTGTGAGCACTTGGGACTTTTATCAGCTGTAACTACAAGCCTACATATTGTCTTGTCCTGGATGCAAACCTATATCTATCTGTTCCGTTGCAGGGAAGGCTGAAAAAATGCTGATGCCATGTAGAGGCTCTTGGGATACAGGCAGGGTTTGTCTGAGGGCACATGTTCATTTGGAAAGCCAATGGGATCACTTACAGCATGTTGGCACAGGGAGAAATACTCAGTAAGAACATCTTACACTTTCTTTACTTTCAAACTTTCCTGGTCCAAACCTGGCACCTCTAACGTGGCAACCATCCAACGACAGAGAGGGTGGACTCACAGGGTCATTAGTGGAGCAACAGTTTTAGCCCATCTGTCCTCCCTCAAGTCCCATTAATCCTCTCTTCAGCCCGTGTAACAGTACACCACACAGAGTTTTGGCCTGAAGATCCAGTTCCATGTGCAAAAGTGCTCCGAGAGTTATTGCTTCTATAATTATTATGGCCCATGAGTCAGATCCCAGAACATGGACTCACTGCCACACCTCTGAAGTCTACAATGACCTACATGCCAGCTCGGGGTTCGGCTGTTCAGCCCTGTTAACCCAGCAGACACAAAAAGCAGAGAGCACCTACCTGAAAGTGGGTTTGGTCCCAAAAGGATGAGGTTCAGAAAGTTTGTTAAGAGAAGCAATGGTTGTCATTGGTGCTTACCACACAATAATCCCTCCTCTCTGATCAGTCTGCGGGACATGAGGAATGAGTCTTTGTCGTTGCATTTGTACCACTGATCAACCACCTGAGGAGAAAGCAAGAAGGCTGGGTCTTGGCAGTGTTATTTCAGGCTGTCCTCACCCTCTGAGGTACACCATCGTGCTGATGCCTACAGCATCTGGCGGCTTTGAGCTGTTTTCCATTCTTGTGGAAAGCAGATGCATTTGTTAGGGCATCTTTAGTCTGGAGGGTGTGTCCTTGCTTGCAGGCACCCACTCTAGCCTTTCCAGCCAGCACCCTTTCCTTGGAGAGTGAGGGATGTCTGACAGGCTCAGGGTCAGGATCTGGAAGAGGAACTGGTGTTTGTGATGTCCTAGGCTAGGCTACACTAATGGTAAAGATTTTGCCAGGCAAAATCAGACCAACTACAAAAAGTTTTACGTTATTACAGGCCACAGCCCCAAAGCCATGTGCTGACAGCAGTGGTATAGTTAATACAACATCTAAAAGCAGAAGGAATCTGGGGTCTGAGGCTGTGAGAGACCTTTCTAAGAGCGAGGCTGGTGGAACACAGGCAGCTTGATTTAGGGATTTAAAGCTCTGTGCCCAGTGGCAACTGATACACTGAGAAGGAACTCGACAAGAAGCCGCATGAGGTTCGTGATCTGTTGTCTTACACGTCTTGAACTTGTCTACCAGCCCATAAATGGTGCAAGACTTCTGCTGTGTGCATGTGGTGCCTGGGGCAACCAAGGCTCAGGAAACACTATCGTGATGAAAAGCAGCCTCAGCATTGACTTATTCTGTGGGATTGTAGTGAGAGAGGCTCTGGATATCAGTGAGGCTGAACTGAGGAGGCTGGTAGCATGGGATACTCCTCGTTTGCCCTTCTATTTGCTTTCTCATAGGTCAGTTATAATCAGATTTACTCTGAGAGATGCTTTAGTGCAGGGGTACCAATTCCCCCACAACAGCTTGTTTTGCACAAGTAGCCTTCAGGATGAGCCACAGCTGGGTGCCAGAGCTGGCTACCTCTGAACTTGGCAGTAGAGCAGATGCAAAGCCAAGGATAAAACAGAGGTGTCTCATCGCACTTCTACTTACTGATCTGTCAAGGACGGTAGGGATAAAGTCGTGCCCAATGCCCTCCACTTCACTGGCTGTGGTGTTTGTCCTGTTCATCTCACTGGGCAGAGCGACGATGGAGCCGTCGGGATCTACGCCAATGATCTTTGAGGGAAGGAAGTTTCATTAAAACACGTATCCCAGGATATTAATTAATAATCCTATCCACTGGCAGGACGGAGACCTTCCAGGATAAAAGGATACTGTTTCCCTCTGTCTTTATAAATATATCCTAGGTAGCATTTAGCTGCTGCTGAAGTGACTGGTGGCTTAAAATATTATCACTCTCAGGGTGTTTGTCATCACCGCTTTGGAAGAGCCTACTGCTTTCAAAGCTCAGCCTGCTGCATAGTGTGAGCTCTCCTTAGTCTATTCCAGCGCAGAGTCAGATAGCCCAAACCTGTGGAAATCCATGGCTACAGACATCCTTTCTGGATCTAGTTCTGCTGGCCAAGAGTGGCACCTTTCTGGTTGCTTATAGCTTTACATCTGGACTGAGGCTGCCTGTCTCAGCACACAGCTTAAGAAAGGATGGTGACACTCCTCTACACGTGGCTTCAGGCAGTCAGTGAGGCAGAATCTCATGCCCAGGTCCTCCAGTGACTGGGTCCACACCATTTCAGTGGTGGATCAGGGATCACTCACACACTGGCTATGCTGGAGAGGCAGTAACCATCAAGTCTCCAGTCTGCCTTGGGCACAAGCTCTGCAGAATGAGCATCCATGACTGGTGTCAACCATAAAGTACAGAGGCTTTTGCAGTGGCAGATGAGAAGCACTTGCACAGTCTGCACTCTGCACAAAGATGCCAGAACAGAAACTTTCAGCAGGTGGGTTAATCAGGAGCAGTAACGGTGTCAGCTGGGCCAGCCACTTCTGTGGTGAATGTCTGACAGCGTCCTGCAAAGAACAAGGCACCAGGCAGGGTGGGCTGTGGGCACAGCAATGGGGCTGTGAGGCCTTTGACTTCTAAGACACTTGGATGAATCTAAGTTAGGCTGAGCACAACACCAAATTGCTTCCAACAAAAGTCAGGCTCGCTGTGAAAAAGCAAATAGGTGGAAACAACAACTGCTAGCTCAGGTGAGCCGTGGGGTTGGGCTTGAACAAAAGAACAGTCAGGAAAACCCAGGGTGAAGGACAGGTGCCAGCAGGCAGCCCTGTCTCCCCACTTACCTTGCACTCCGGGCACTTCTCCTTCAGCTTCCTGGCGACACCAGTGACGGTACCTCCTGTGCCAGACCCAATCACCACCATGTGGACCTTGCCTGTAGGTCAGGGAAGAGAGAGGCTTGCAAGGACTCAGCATGGTGTCCCCTTTATTCAGGGCCCTGTGCAGATGCAGAGCCCATGCTCCTCGGCTACTGGAATCCCACATGGGGAAAGCATAAGCAGAGGTCATGCTAGTGGCCAAAGCATGGTCCTGTAGAGAAGTTCAGATGAGCTTGCAAGATCTGAGCATGGTTGATCTTGCCTCAGCAGAGGGGACTGAAGGTGACCTCCAGATCTCCCACTGGTCTCCAGGATTTCTACATCTTTGGCATCTACTGGCTTAAGGGGGAGAGAGTCATCTCAGCACTTCCAGCCCTTTCAAACTGCATCACCTCAAAGCAAAGCACACACGTGGATGGGAGCGCTTATCAATAACAAGCACAACTTTTCAGCTAGCGTTAGCATCCACGGTGGAGAGATGGCAGAGCTCTGCCCTGGCACCCCTGCCAGTCTGACGTAGCCCAGCCGGCATCAGTGAAATTATACTAATTGAGGAGTGGTAGAAGCAGAATCAGATTCAGGCTTTCAGAGCCTTATGCTGCAACTACATGGTGAAAAAGGGTCTTGTAATTCACTGCTGGCAGCCAGTAGGAGCAAAGAGAAACGTTATAGTGGAGGGAAGACTGGGACTCTCTTGTTCCTGTTGCTACCCGACTGCTTTACTGTTATGATAACTGCTCTCCAGTTAAAACCCTTGAGCCCTGTTTACATTTTGCAGAACTCCCAGTACTGGCAATAAATTCCATTTCTATCTGTGCAGACATTGACTGGGATAGTCCTTTCTCCTCCCCCAGCCATCACATCAAATGTAATTATTCTGTGAAGTTTCTATTTTGATTTGCAAATGAGTGTGCTGAATTAGATGCAGCCTGCCATGTCCTGCCGGATTTATATTCCCCAATGAGACCTTCTGGGCCATCTTGCGCTCCCAGCTGACAGGCTGCAGATATGGTGTAGCCGCCAAGAGACAGGTTTTTCCTCCTTGGGTACAGTGTGAACTTATTAGGCCTCTGGTCTCCTCCCTCAGGCTTTTGAAATTGGAGGCCATAGCAGGGTATCCCTGCAGCTCAGGTGTATCTGGAGTAGATTATGAGAAGTTACTACACTCTGCGTCTCAGAATTGTTAAGGGTGCCTCCACCTGCAGAGGCCTTTTTGGCCATTTCTAGACATTTAGGTCAATAAAGGATGTAAAATAAGCCTCTCAGAGAGAGCTATGGCCCTCTGCACATCGAAACAACAGCGCAGACGGTACCTTCACACTGCTCCAGGATCTCCTCAGCTGTGGTGTCGTAGTGAGCCAGGGGGTTGCTTGGATTTCGGTACTGTTTATTTCAACAGAGAACAGCATGTGTAAAGCGTAGGTCAAATACCAAACTAGCAATAGCTCCTGACAAGCTTTACCCAAAGCATGCAACGGCCTCCTCCTCTCCCTGGCAGGGGGTGGACTGCAACCCGGCCAGGCCAGGTCACAGGTATTCCTCCTGGTTGTCACTTTGGCTCAGATATCCAAGGACACTTGGGATTTGTCCACACTGGGAGATTAAATGCACCCATAAACACTCACTCTCTGATACTTGGTGCCCACTCAGTGTGGGGGTGCTGTGGCTGTCCCATATGCTGCATTGCCAGGTTCTGTGGGATCTGGTGGTTTTGTTAAAGTTCTAGCTGTTGGTGAGAAGAGAGCTTCTAGGTATCTTAGGTGTTGCTTAGATGGAAGTGTTTTAACCTTTTCTGTTGCCTTGAAAAAGGTTGAAAACACAGTCCCACAATACTCCTAAAAAGCTCAGGAAAAGAAGAAAAACAAAACAACCCCTTCTCATATATATGTGATACTTGAAAGAAGTATATATATACATGTGTGTGTGTGTACATATATACAAACATACTTTTGAGACCTGCTTCTAGGGGCATTTGTTGTTGCAGACTTCTTTCAAGTATCACATATATATGTGATACTTGAAAGAAGTATATATATACGTGTGTGTATATATATACATACACACACATAATTTTGAGACCTGCTTTGTTGTTTAGGGGCATTTGTGGTTGGCAGTGCAGCAACTTAGGTGGCTGGGAACTGTAGGTCAGAGTAGTTGTCCTACCTGTACAGAAGGATTTACAGCAGGGGGTACACAGGTACAGCACTGAAAGCTGTGCAGCCCCCTGTTCACATCTGTAGACGAGGCTGCTTCTGAAAAGCATTTTCAGACACTGAGCTCTCCTTTTTCTTAAAAGGCAGGAGCTTCCCTGACTTTTCTGCACTATAGGTGCTCCCTGCTTACTACAGGCATGTCTTTCTGCAGAGGGGCAAGACCAGAAGAAGCGCCCTCCTGTATCAGACGCAGCACTGCAGGAACCACTGGTGTGAATCATCAGTGTTTGCCCTTTACAGAGTGAGGTGTGTTTCTAAGGCAGAACAGAGGCTCCTAGTCAGGCATAAAAAGTGATTTTTTTTTTTTTTGGGTCAAAGTTAAATCTGAAGCAATTTGAGGAGTCTTTGAATTGTGCAAGAAAACCCAGTCCCACCCATATTCAGGCTTTGGCAGAAGTATTACAGGTTTGGAAGTGTCCCTAATTTTGTTTCTGCCACCCCATGCTTTACAGATGAGTGATTTAAGTTTCAAACCCTATAAAATGCTGACGAAATCTGCCTCTGTTGCCAGTCTGAATGAAGCCCCCAAACACAGGAACACTTGGAGAATACATTATAAACCATGTTTTAAAAGAAAGTCAGAGGAGGGACAGTGTTTACCTGGTCTAGGATGTGAGAATTTGGGATTTCATTTTTCAGCTTCCAAGCAACACGTATGTTAGACTCCGGGGCATCAAAGCGGGCGCATGGGGTCCTCACAATTTCAGCACCAAGTGCCTTCAGAATATCGACCTTTTGGGAGAGACGAGAGTGGATGTAGTGCAGTTGATCCCCCGTAGCGATGGTAACACAAACCTGCGGGCTCATGGCAGCGTCAGATGCCAGAGGAGCTTTGCACGCAGGAGACATTTAGC